TAGACGAGATCATTATTATCGATAATATATCATATATATAGACCTATATCTTATATAGATTATAACATATATTAGATATATATATAGATTATTATATCATATATATATAGATCTATATCATATACCATTATATGATTATATCATATATCATATATATATAATATATATCCTATCTATATAGATTATATCATATATCATATATATAATGATCTATACATATATCATATATATAGATATATATCATATATTCAATATATGGATCTTATCATATATATATAGATATATATCATATTAATAGATATTATCATATTATATTATATATAGATATATATCATATATATATAGATATATATCATATATATTATAATCTATATCATATTATAGATATTATCATATATATAGATATTATCCTATATATATAGATATATATCATAATATATAGATATATATCATATATAGAGATATATCATATATAGATAGATATCATATATATAATAATATCACATATATGTCTATATATAAGTAGATAGATATTTATTATTATATATAAGATTATGATTTGCTATATGTATGATACATATATATATATATAATATAGATATATTATATACAGGTGACCCAACCTGACAAGTGGGTGAGTTCAGATTGCCTGCTAAGGTACTCCCCCTCCAGGACCGAGTGAGCTTAGCGGAACAATTGAAATTGCCATGACGTTTCACCCAGTTCACTAGGGTATGTACATGGAGCGTGTTTTCATTCTACTACTTAGAGGGTGCAGTATCTCTGTATTGACGCCCTTCGTGACGGCTTGTGGGCTGTGGGCCATGTTCCCACGTGGTATGGCATTAATTTGATGCAAAAGGACGCAGCCCTGCAGTGACGTTACAGGAGTAGACTGATCCATCCATTGAAGTTTTTACTACCTGGGGAGTGTGGGAATTCTGCACTTCAGATTAGGCATGGGGGGGCTTGTGCCCACAGTGGTGGGACTTCTAGGGGGAGCTCCCATACCCTATTAAGTAGTTGTTCTTGAGCTGATAGCATATTCAACAACCTGGTTGTGTGTCAGCCCCTTGAGGTTATTTGAAAAGGAGCTTCAGAATCTTATTCTAAGGATAGAGTATTTTTTGTATTCATGCTATATATATAAAGTTCCTGATGTGACTGGAGGTGACCTTTGAAAGGAACTGCGTGATATTAGAGCAATTCTTGGGAGTCTGATATATGAGGATTTAAACACACACACACACACACACACAAACACACACTATAACCTACATAACACCAAATTATATATATCATCATATATATATATATTAATATGACTATATATATATATATAGAATATATATAATATACATACACTAAACCATATATATATACATATAATATATATTATATACTATATATATATATAGATATATATATATATATATATACACACACATTATAGATATATATATTTATATAGATATACTATATATAGAGACTGATATATATATACATGATAATAATAACTCATTATATATATATATATATATATAATATCTATATATATATCATATATTCTATATTGATATATATATATATTTATATATACATCTATGTTAACCTTATATACATATAATATAGAATAATAATATATAATATATATAATAGTATATATATCAATATAATAATATATATCATATATCATTTATATTATACCAATAGATACATTATAATAAATATATAGCTATTATACATATATAATATATATATTAATGTATAGGGATTTATAGATATATATAGATATATATCCCTTATATATATATATATAGTAGAGATATATCAGATATATCGAATATATCTCATATATAGAGACTAATGATCATTTATAGATCGACATCATGTATATAGATATATATCATATATATAGATTTATATTATCTATGGTTTAATATATAGATATATATCTATATTATAAGATATATTCATATATATATAGATATATATCAGATATATATAGATCATATCATATTATATATATAGATATAATCATATATATAGATATATTCAACATATATGTAGATAATATATCAATATATGTTGATATATATTCACATATCTGTACGATATATATCACTATACGGTCGAGATTATCACCATATAATGTAGATCTACTATCATATATATGTAGATAAATCTTAATATATGATAATATCATATATATAGATATATATCATATTATAGATATATATCATCTATAAGATATTATTCAGATATATAGACTATATATCACTATATCTAGATTTATATAGATATATCTAGAATATCTCTATATATATATAGATCTATATCATCTAGATAGATTATATATATAATGATATTATTCATATATATAAATTGATATCATATATATAGATATAGATCTAAGATCTAAGATATATATCATATCTATATTTATTAGATATAGCATTATAATAGATATAGGATATTATTATCTATAATAGAGATATATATTCATATATATAGATATATCTCATATAATAGATATCTAATTAGAAGATATCATATATATAGATATAATCAATATAGAGATAGATTTCATATATATATAGAATATAATATCATATATATAGTATATACATATATATACGATATATATCATATATATAGAATATATCATCTATTAGATATATATCATTATATATAGATATATCTTCATATATAGATATATATCATATTATTAGATAATAACATTATATATAGATATATAACATATATATATAGATATATATCATATATCATATATATAGACATATATCATATATATAGACATATATCATATATATAGACATATATCATATATATAGACATATATCATATATATAGACATATATAATATATATAGACATATATCATATATCATATATATAGTATATATCATATATCATATAGATATATCATATATCATATATATATAGATATATATCATATATATATAGATATATATCATATATATATAGATATATATCATATATATATATAGATATATATCATATATATATAGATATATATCATATATATATATAGATATATATCATATATATATAGATATATATCATATATATATAGATATATATCATATATATAGATATATATCATATATAGATATATATCATATATATATAGATATATATCACATATATATATAGATATATATCATATATATATATATATCATATATATATATATAGATATATATCATATATATATATATACATATATATATATATATATATATATATATATATGTGTGTGTGTATAGATTATACATATATTATAAGATATATGTATATATTGTACATATATTTTATATATATTATATATATATATATTTATATATAATATATATAAAATATATGTACAATATATACATATATATATGATATGTGTATGATTTATACACACAGACATACACACAAACACACACACACACACATACACACACACACACACACACACACACACACACACACACACACACACACACACACACAGGGGCATCACTTAAGGGGGGGTGTGGGGGGTGGTTGACCCCCCCCCCCCCCAACTCTTAAAAAAGCCTCTTTTTGCAGGGCAAAATCTAGTTCTGCAGGGCAAATTTTCTCTTACGGAATCTGCCTCAATAGCCGATAAGTATTCAAGATATATAAATAACTAAATGAAACTAATGTTGATGATACTTGATTTATAACATTTTCTGGAGCAAAGTGTCTAATGTCTAAACTATCGAAATTAATTTTTGAACCCTGTTCTATTCGTTATAGATTTCTTGTTTTTTTGGTATTGTAAGAAGTTTCTAGTTAAGCTTTTACGTTTTTTGTTGTTTTGTTCATTTATCATTTGTAAATACTGGTTGATGGTCCATTCCGGGCTACTTATAAAGAGCTAGTGAGCATTTTCTTTTTCGTGATTTGCAGGGCAAAAATTATTTTTTCAGTGCAAATTTACCCATCACCCCCCCAACTCATAACATGAAGTAACGCCCCTGCCAACACAGATACACATTCACATTCACATTCACATACACATTCACGCACACATTCACGCACACACACACACACACACACACACACACACACACACACACACACACACACACACACACACACACACACACACTCTTACACACTCTCACACACACACACACACACACACACACACATACATATATATATATATATATATATATATATATATATATATGTATATTCATACATACATACATACATACATAAATATGTACATACACACATAAACGTGTACAAATGGATATGTATATGTATATATTTATGTATTCATTTATTTAACCCAATGCCGATGGACATGACGTGTATGTGTATGCCATGCCCACTGTGAGTTTACTTGTTTAATTGTTTTTACACAAAGATGGCTACACTGCTTGTCTCGCCTGTTTACCCTTTTCTTTGATTTACAAAAATATTTTACGTTATCTTATTTCACTGTTACTAATGTTTATAACATTATAGTATTTATAATGTTTATGATAAAAACACCATCAATATTCATAGCACTAGTAAAAAAGTACATTTTTCCTGCCATTTCAAATCAGGTAAGGTCACAAGGTCCACTAATCTGACCCTTTTGTGGCTAAGCACTAGCAGAGCCATCTATGTTCAGAGACATTTCATAAAAAATATAAAAAATGAGCACAGCATTTTCCCCACTTTTTATTGATTTACCCCAGTGGCATTGGGTTGATTGAACCAATTTACATTTTGGCAAAAAATACTTTCTTTGTCCACCGTAATTTTAGGGTATTCAATGTGGTTATACTTTAATGGAATCCAAGTACTTGAGTCATCAAATATTCAATTAAGATTGATGTTCCTGCCTTGCTTATCTATTTATCCTTTTCACTAAAGTGAGCAGGTCATAAATCGGTGGTTGCTGGAATAATGCATTGTATATTAGCAAAAAAAAATATATATATATACATATTTTCCATTCTCAAACAGATTAGAGGAATGCTGACTGCATTATTGGAACCATGTCATGGACAAGGTGCAGAGAAGCGGCTTTTTTATCTTCGCGATGCTCTTGTCTCCAAATTGTTTAGACTTAAGGTTTGACTTCATATTTTAGTTGCTTCTAAGACGTAGTAATCATATTCAAAGTGCCTGAGTTATAATTGTAGGGTTTGACCTGGCAAAAACTCAGTTTCTTTAGTTGACATTTATTTTTTTTATTAACATCCTCTGACTTAAAGTTGTATTAAAAATATAGCTAAATGTACAAAGTTATTTCTTGTGTTTATAATAACCGCATGAAACAATGTTGACATAGAGTGTAGCTTACAAGTGTGAAGTCATCTGTTAAACTGGAAGTATTATGCTTATTCAATACTGCACCTACTCTTGAAAGAGTTATCTATTACTTATATCTGAACATATGTGGTATATGCTCAACTTGCATATCATCTCTGCTCAAGGGAGTATTAACCCAATGCTGCTAGGGCTGGCATGTACATACATGCCATGACCACTGGAAGTTTAGTTTATTAATTGTCTTTACATATAGATGGTTACACAGTACTAAGTCACCATATTGATAGCATTTGTAAAGTCAAGGAAAGGTGGAATTAGGTGAGGTCACAAGATCTACTAATTGACCTATTTGTGTCTAAGCACTTGTAGAGCCATCTATATGTAGGTACATATCACAAAACATTACTACAATGAACATGATTTCCAGGCATAAACAGTGCATCCCCAAACAAAAAAATTGTAATTACTGCTATTACTACTACTAAGGTAATTATTCTCATGAAAAAAAGCTTTATATGTTGTATATACCTTATATAAAATATGACGCAATTAAATTATAATTCTGGAGGGGCACAGGCGTGGACTGAGGACGAACCGCGAGGTGACTAGGGGGGTGTGTGTGGGGGGCTGTGCGGGTGGACGTGCTCTGTGCCGTGTGCAAGGGTGGGGGGCGAGATGATATATAGAGGAAGAGCAAGTATATGATAGAGGAGATAGAGATATATAGAGATAGAGAGATAGATTATAGGCGAGAGATAGGACACACAAACACCACAGAGGAGAGAGAGATAGACAAGTGAGATAGAGACAGGGAGGAAGAGTATGATTGAAAGAGACAAGAAATAGATATGAGGTAGTGTAGAGAGACAGAGAAATGAGAGAGAGCGACTGGAGATAGTGACACAGAAAGCATATAGAGAGCGAGAAATATGAGAGGAGAGAGAGTAGAAAGAGAGACCGAGAGTGAGAGGCACAATACAGAAGAGAGAGAGAGAGGATACCAAGAGGATAAAGAGAGTTAGATAGAGAGAAAGATAGATAGAGATGAGACGTACAGATATGAGCAGAGATAGGAAATAGAGATAGAGAGGATGGAGAAAGATGAGACGAGAGAGTAGACATAGCGACTAGAGAGGAGACATAGAGTTATGAGGATAGAAGAGATAGAGAGAGAGATAGAGATGAGAGATAGAGAGACGATGCGAGAGTTAGGAGATAGATAGAGATATGAGAGATAGAGAAGATAGAATAGAGGAGACGAGAGTCGAGAGAGAGAGATTTAGAAAAGACGATATGAGCAGAGATATAGAGATATAGAGAGAGAACGATAAGAGATAGAGAGAATTGATAAAGAGATGTGAGGATAGAGAGAGAGAGATATGAGATAGAGCGAGAGAGAGGGAGAAAAGAGTATAGGAGATGATGACTAGAGATAGATATGAGATAGAGAGACTGAAGAGAGAGAAGGAGCCACACAGGAGAACGATATAGAGAGGCAGAGGAGACAGAGAGAGAGAGAGAGATCGAGAGAGAGAGGAGATCGAGAGTGATACATGAGAGAGAGCATGAGAGGAGAAAGAGAGAGAGACTGATTATAGATTAGAGAAGAGATGAGAGATAGAGAGAAGATAGAGAGATGGAAAATAGATATAGAGAGAGATATATAGAGTAGAGTAGAGAGAGAGAGATAGAGATAGATGAGACAGAGTAGAGAGAGAGAGAGAGAGAGTGCTTATAGAGACATCGAGAGATTGAGAACTGAGAGAGAGATACGAGAGAGAGAAGATAGAGATATATCAGAGAGCGAGATGAGATGAGAGCAGAGAGGAGAATGGAGAAATATGTAGAGCGATAGCAGAGATGACGAGAGGAGATAGAAGAGATGATAGAGAGATGATAGATAGTCACGAGAGCAGAGAGAGAGCAGAACGAAGAGTAGATATAGATATAAGAGAGATAGAGATAGAGAGAGGAGAGAGAGAGAGTAGGAGACAGAGAGAGATGGAGTACCGAGAGATTAAGTGAGATATATGATATATATGAGAGATAGAGAGAGAGGAGAGAGTATAGACAGAGGAGAGATAGAGAGAGTATGAGATAGAGATGAGGAGCAGGATAGAGAGGTAGACGAGAGAGAGTATAGTAGAGGATAGAAGAGGATAATAGATATAGATGATAGAGATATAGATAAGGAGAGAGAGAGTAAAGAGAGATAGAGCAGAGAGACCGGAGACACGACGATTAGATATGAGATATAGCGAGACAGATGAGTACGAGATATAGATTATCAGTACGAAAGATGAGAGAGAGAGATTGGGATATGAGGAGGCAGATGTCAGATCGAGAGATATAATGAGGGAAAGAGATAGAGTGTAGAGATGTTGGAGAGTTGATAAAGAGAGTAAGATGATATGAGATAGATGATTATAGGAGACAGAGAGGAGATATGAGAGAGAGGGAGAATGATTGATAGATGAGAGAGAGAATATAGAGATATAAGGCGAAAGATAGAGATATGAGAGAATAGAGAGAGAGAGAGAGAGAAGATGAGACGGAGGGAGAAAGAGATGAGAATAGATAGAGAGAGAGTATATGAGAGAGAGAATAAGATAGAGATATATACAGATATAGTAGAGCAGATATAGATGAGATAAAATAGAGAGAGATATGTGATGGAGAGAGAGAGGCAGTAGATATACTGAGATATAGATGATATCGAGAGAGATGAGATGATGGACATAGAGGAGAGAGAGAGGGTAGAGAGAGATATATATAGATTAGATACGAGAGAGAGAGGTGAACATATAGAGATGAGAGAGATGATGAGAGAGAAATAGATAGATGTAGATGGAGGGGATGATCACGATAGGTGAGACATTATAGAGAGTAGAGATTTATAGAGAGGAGACAGAAGAGATCACATTACGGGATATAGAGTAGATTATATATAGAGGAAGAGATAGATAGATAGAGAGATAGCAGAGAGATAGAGATCAGATATGGGTGGATTTAGAGTAACAGAGAGTCTGATATACGATGATAGAATAGATGATATGATATATTAGAGTATATAGAGAGAAGGATAAAGAGAGGATATATAGAGAGAGCGAGAGAGAGAGAGAGATAGATGAGACAGTGAGATATAGATGAGAGATCATGATAAGAGACTTGAGAGGTAGAAAAGAGATAGAGAGGATTAGAGAGAGATGCTATAGCGATAGAGAGAGTAGATAGAGAGAGAGAGAGAGAGGAGAGCATAGGAGAGCGAAGTAGGTAGAAAGATAGATATAGAGAGATGAGACATAAGAGATTAGGATACAGATATAGAGAGATGTAGATATTAGACAGATGATGGAGATAGTTAGAGATAGAGGAGACAGAGCTGTGTAGAGAGATATAATGACTAAGATATAGATTAGATATGTCGAGACAGAGTAGAACCCAAAAGAGAGATGAGAAAGAGAGAGGATGAGAAGAGGAGTTACATAGTGAGAGAGGATAGATAGAAGTAGTATAGAAGAGTTTCCATGAGGTAGATAGAGATAGAGAGAAAGGTAGGAGAGTAGATATAGCTAGAGAGATTTAGACAGATAGAGAATGTATAGAGATAGAGAGAAAGAGAGAGAGAGTGATAGATATATAGAGAGGAGTACAGAGAGATAGAGATAGAGATATATATAGGAGACAGAGATGTTAGATAGATAGATATGAGACAAGAGCGAGAGATATAGAGAATAGATATATGATAACAGAGAGAGATAGAGATAGAGATAGAGGGGATACGATAGATATAATTATAGAGTAGAGAGGTAGACATAGGGAGATTATAGATTATAGACGGAGACATAGAGGATCATGATAGAGAGTAGAGTAGATGATAGATCGATAGAAGAGAGAGGACAGATATAGTATTACGAGAGAGAGTATACATAGATAGAGAGGTGGGAGAGTATATTAGAAAGATAGATGATAGGAGATGAGGAGATTATACAGAGAGAGAGATAGAAGAGAGAGAGATAGAGGAGACATATAGAGAGATAGTAGAGACGATTAGTAGTAGAGATTGTACGGAAAAGAGAGAGAGATAGATGAGAATATGACCTAAAATTACTATTACTGCCCCAATATAGATAGAGGATACAGAGATATGAGTATACGAGAGATAGATGTTGGGGGTTGATGACAGAATATACTTATAGGATAAGGATGATAACAGATATATATGAGAGAGAAGAGAGATGGAGAAAGAGAGAGTATATATAGAGAGAGATGAGACAATAGTTCAGGAGGAGAGATGACTGAGTAGAGAGGAGACATAGAGAGGTATGGATAGTATGAGATATGGAGGAGAGGATGTACAGAGATAGAGAGAGAGATATAGTAGAATATAGATGGACAGATATAGAGATAGATACGATATATATTATAAAGGCATATATAGAGGGGGATGATGAGAGTATGAGAAATATATAGCGAGGAGATATTACGTAGGAGACATAGAGATATTAGAGAGTGAGATATACAGATACAGAGATGGAGAGATATAGTACGATATGAGATAGATCGCAGCTAGTAGAAAGATAGATGGAGATAGATTATGAGAAAAGTATGATATATATACATGATAGAGATGGAGAAGACTTAGAGAGATATATAGATATAGATTGATACAGATATGAACCCAGAGATAGATGATGAGATGTTAGACAAGTATTATGAGATAGAGAGATTGAGAAATAGATAGATAGAGATATAGAGGATGACACCGATTATGGATTACTAGAGAGATTGATAAATAG